TAAGTAAAAAAGCCAAGTGGGATCACGAGGCTCTGAGTTCCAGCCCAAATACTGGCACATGCACAGGAAAGGCTAACATAAATATCACTGGAAAGTCAACACAGCTAATCAACCTCACTCCTTTTCTTTGTGTCCACTGAGTGGAATTTAGGCAATACTTGAATGTTGGAAAAGTGATAGAAAAGTTTTTTAGGTTTGAAATATAGCAGAGAAAGGAGATTACATGGCACTGTCAGAGACAGTGACAATGACAGAGACAATGACATTCATATTATCTTCAGCCAACATTCATACTATCTTCAGCCATCTTGAGGGAACAGACATGAACATTAGGTTTGGATACAGGAAGAATAAGGGGTAGAAGTGTGTACATAATGTAAGAGTCCTAGATACATATGTGGCCTTCTGTTGGTTTTCTAGGGAAAATTGTTATCGCTATCATCACAAAAGGAAGTAATCTGATTACCAAGAGGTGATTTCTCTGGCTCCAGGGTGCAGCCTGATTTTTTTTTTTTTGTCCGGTCGTGGGGTGGCCTGAACTCTGGGCCTGGGCGCTGTCCCTCAGCTGTTCAGCTCAAGGCTAGCGCTCTACCACTTGAGCCACAGCACCACTTCCGGCTTTTTTTCTTTTTGCTTATGTGTTGCTGGGGAATCGAACCCAGGGCCTCAGGCATGCAAGGCAAACGCTCTACCGCTGAGCCACCTTGCAGCCTGATTTTAATAGGTAATTATCTTCCCTTTGGGCTCACCTGTCCTGCAAGCTCTGCTGTTCTTAGGGATAGTTTTAGTCCTTTGTCATAAAGATATTATCAATCACCTGTCTTTCCTGGCCCATAGTGATTGGAAAGTGACTGTGGAGTGAATGGTTTAGAACACAGAGACATCAGACTTATCTTCTGCTTTTACTTAATTTGTGGCAGCAAAGAGTTTAAATATAAGTACACTTTCAATAGACTGAATGTGATGTCATTAGTGAGTTATCATTAATCTTAGGGGTTTGAGTACTTATTGAGATTGAACTGAGTTTTAGACTGCAGGCCCAAGGTCCAAGAGTACCACATTAGGTCTAGCCATTTGCCCTCATATGCCAATTAAAGAGATATTGTGAAGGGCAGAGAAAGCTTTATTATGGCTGCTATGGGAAGACAGCACATCTCCAGCCATCTTCAGGGAGTATAGGCTTTGGCTTCAGGTTAAACAGGAAAAATGAGGGGCAGAGATTGAGAAAGGTATGCAATAATTAAAATCATCCCAGGTCACAGATATAAGCTCTGGTTGACCATTAGTTAAGTCCCTGGAGAAGGTCCAGAGACATTGCTACTTCTTCTATTTGAGGGAAGGGTAGTTTTACCTTTTGCCACAAGGTACAGAAATGGCTCTACCTGAGCAGCAGTTCGTCTTTTGTCACAAGATGCTTACTGGTGAATCTGGTCTTTCTGGAAACCCACGTAACTACTAAATGATGGCAGCAGGAAATGGCTTAGATTAAAAAGGACACATGAAAGCAGGGCATGATGAGTAGCTAACTTTTAGTCAATTGATAGGTCCAGCAATATCAGCTTTAAAGTTGCCTCTTACAAGATTACCTGTGAGAAATTCTCATCTCCAGGCCCAGTCTACAGAAAGCTTAGTTATAAAACCTTCTCTAAAGCCTTGTGAGCTCATTTTCCATTTTAAGTTCCCTTTACATGTTCCTCATACTAACTACTCATGGCTAACTGCTACTTATCATAAACAGGTAATTAAATACATCTAATTCAATAAGACTCAGCTTTATTCTGAGTAAAAGCCTAAAAAAATCAACAGAAATACAAGGGACTCAGGATGAAATGTCATTTTTATTGTAAGATATTAAGAGAGGAGGCTATTACTCTTTCCCCATGAATTAATTATGATAACCCATTGTTTTATAGATTTTCTTGAGACTAGATATGCTATCAAGCCAATTTTTGTCAGGTTGCTTTCTGGTTCCCTGTTTCATACTACAGTGATACTTTCTGCCAATTTGGTACTCTGCTAGCAAGAAGTCATCGCCATAAATGGTCCCTCAACCTGAGAGCAGAATCAATAAACCTTTTCTTTAAAACTAACCAAGTTTGTGGTATCATGTTATTAGCAAAAATATGCTATTTGGTGTAAGTGAAGCAGAGGCATCGACATGGTTCAAATGATCAAAGATCATTTGATCTTTGACCATCACTGATCAGCACTGGAACAGGTCACTCCTTGATCAAACAGAAGCAAATGAAACCTAACCCCTAATGAAGGATATTTTCAGTCTGTGGAACTGGTTAGCCTTGAGAAAGGTTTGCAATTGACAAACCAAGCCTTTCTTGTTTCCCCTTCTAACCAAGCCTAGTAGCTTGGTTTGAATGAGAGAAATGAAAGCAGTAGAAGTTACCTTTACAGGTAAAGGGAGTGGGGATAGAAACACATCTCTAGGAGGAAATGGCTCAAGTGCATGACTCAGATCTATCCATTCATTTCCCTGACACAGAGATGGTTTCAGAGTCATCAGATACGTTACAGGGTGCACTCAGGGTGGGGAAACCAAAATTCACAGTATTTAAAATGGTTGGTATTCTACAACTCAACAATTGAAAAAATACACCCATTGACTAATAACCAATTAAAAAGCAGGTAAGGCTGGATGAAGAGGCTCAGACTTATTACTTAGAAGGTAAAAATCAAGAAGATTGAAGTTTGGAGCCTGCCCAGGAAAAAAGTTAGCCAAGACATCTCTGAAAAAATAAGCCAGGTATGGTGGTACACTGTGACCTCAGCTATGTAGGAGGGAGGCCCAAGGCCAGCCCTTACGAAAACTATGATGTGAGACCCTCTCCAAAATAGAAAGTAAAAAAATACTTGAGAGCATGGTTCAGCTGGTAGAGAACTTGCCCAGTTGAGTTCAAATCCTAGCACTGCCTAAACAAATAAAATAAAATCAGGTAAAATCATTTTTAATAAACACCTCACTTTTAGCACAACATCTTTAATTCTCAACATCATTACTTTTCAAGGAAATACTACTCATAACTGTGTGGAGGTACCACTACACCCACTAGAATTTCTAAAAGAAGCCAGGCAGACCACGATGGGAAAGTTGAAATTCTCATACATTGCTGGTGGGAATGTCCAGTCTCGAAGTAGCTGTGTGAAATAATTTAGTACTTCACCAAAACTCTAAAAATAGTTATCCCATGACCCAGAAATTCTATTCCTACGTCTATACCCTAGATAATGTCTACACATGAATATTCATAACAGTATTATTCATAATAGACAAGTAGCCAAAACAGCCCAAATACCTATCAATTAATGAATTAAACAATTGAAACAATATTTATATAGTCATTCAATATTATTACAAATATTCTTCAGCCAAAAATAGAAAATAATAAATAATAAAATATAAATGCTACCTTGAACCATCACATTGAGTATAAAAAATAGTCACAAAAGACCACATACTGTAAAATTCCATTTATATGGCATGTTCTCAGTGGACACATATATGCAGACAGAAAGTTAATTAGTGACTCCCATGTGTTGTGAAGAGAGTAATTGCTCATAAATATCTCCCGTTCAGCTAATAGATATCCCTCCCCTCTCTCTTTTTCTGGTTCTGATACTGAGGTTTGAACTCAAACCCTCATATTATTCCTTGGATTTTTCCACTCAAGTCAGGCTTTTTACTACTTGAGCCACACCTCTTCTACTTCTTTTTTGCTGGTTAATTGGATTGAATCTGAGAGTCTCATCGATTTGTTTGCCTGGGCTGGCTTGGAATTATGATCCTCCTGATTAGTTAGGATAACTCGTGTGAGCTACCAATGCCTGGCCTTTCATTTTTAAATGACAAAATTTTGTGGCGTTAGATAATGGCTACAGCACTGTGGCTATTCAAAAAATACTCATTGAATTGTATGCTTTGAAATGATTGGCGTGGTTAAATCCAAATTTTGAGAGAGCCAGAGATCTCTAAAATAGATGGGTTTATTAAATTGTTAGAGTTGATAGTCAAAAATAAAAGGACCAGTTCTGGGATAAGTTCCTTAAGCCACCAGTAGCATGGCTAGGTAGCAGTGTGAAAAAGCCCACTGGGTCCAAGAAGCCAGGCTATTTTATGATGAAAATCTAGAAGATGTAAATGGCTTACATTGGACTTACACTGGTTATAAATAAGAAGGACCAAGACAACAGATGAAAGAATGGATGCTGTCTTAATGACTAACCCGCAACATGTACAAATATGTAGTAGTTGTTTTTCTTTTTTGATTTAACTTGAAGCTTTCAATGACAATAAACTCTTAACTTTTTCTTCCCTCCGTCTTCCTTCCTCCTAACTTAATTTAGGATATCTTAAAATTATTCTCTTATCAGTGTAATGGTATGCCTATTATATCTCGATAATAAGTATATCTTAAGAAATACAATAATTATATTTTCATTTTATCTTTAAAAAGATGTTATGTTTAAAAAAATGAAGTGCTTAGGATAACTTTTTTCTTGGGGCAGTACTAAGGTTTAGCTAAGGGCCTTATCACGCTAGGCTGGCACTCTTCCACTTGAACCACACTACCAGACCTGCTTTTTGCTTAGTTATTTTGGAGATGAGGTCTCAAGTGAGCCTTGAACGATTATGAGAATCCTGCAGACTTGGGGATTTTGTTGTGACATTTCCATACAATCATATCCCTTTCTTCGATCAGTCTCTGTCTCCAGTACCAGGGCTTGAACAGAGTCTTGGCCCTGTCCCTAGGCTTTTCCCTCAAGGCCACGAGAGTCGTAGCTCCACTTCTGCTTTTTGGTGGTTAATTTTTAGACATGAGTCTCACAAATTCCCTACCTAACTGGATCCCAACCAGGATCCGCAGCTCCTGCTGGGGCTTCACGTGTGGGCCCAGCTCTCCCTCCTTCTGAAAGCAATTTCAGCACTGCTGGAGTTTCATTCCACAGCCTCCCTCCATCCCCTCTCACGCGCCCACTCCGACACCCACCTCACAGGAGGGCCTGTTGACGATACAAGAGTTAAGGAGACCCTCACCCTCAAGGCCTGCACATGTCCCCGAGGCCTCTGACGGAGGACACCGTGTCCCGGTCCAATAGCTTAGACAGCCTTCCCGGCCTGCAGCGGCCGCTCGGGTCCTGAGCTGTGACGTGAAGCCCCAGAAGCAGGTGGCGAGGGTCACGGACCCCACCCACTCACATCCGCCCCGGGCCGCAGAGCCTCGGGACCGCCAGCCAGACGCCGCCCCTTCCGGAGGCCCCGCCCTTCCCCGGGCAGCGGTGGGAGGGGGGCGCGGGAGAGGGGCGCGGGGGAGGGGGGGTCGGGAGGGGGCAGGGGGCGGGCCGGAAAGGAGCCGGAATAAAAGATTCTGTTGGCCGGAGCCCGGACTGGCGCAGCTGCTGCTGGACTGACGGCCCTCTGCCTTTGGTCACGGGGACTGGAGACTGCGGGTCTGGTGAGGGCGCTCTGCGCTGGGCCTGGACGTGGAGGGGACCCGCCCTGGAGAGCCTGAAGGAACTTCTGTGTGCCACCTGGAGATGGCACCGGGGACTTAGAGAATTCGGAAGGGGTGGGGGAAGAGGGAGGGAGGGAGAGAGAGGGGGGAGGGAGAGAGAGGGAGGGAGGGAGGGAGATGAGATGAGATCCCTAGAAAGCTGAGCCACCTTGGTGCTTACCAAAGTGGCTTCTGGGGCATCCCACCTGGTCAGGGCGACCAGGCTTATACCTGGGCTGGGGCCGGCCTCAGAGTCCTGCTGAGTTATCCCACACCACCCTCCTCGGTGGCCTCTCACTGTCCTCCACCTTCTCACCACCTTATCCCACTTGATGATCCCTTTCCCTCTCTCCTTAGGGACCTACAGAATGATGATCTCTCTTACTTTATCTCTGTCCAACACCACTATCCATTTCAAGTCCCAACACTGTTTACCACCCAAGTATTTTCAATAATTCACCTCCTATTGATAGGCTCTCTCCTATTTGTACCTCCCTCAGATTGAGCTACCTCCTTTTCATCCTCCTCTTCATTCTCCTTCTTCTCTGCTTGCTTTTCATCCAGACCCTGTCCTCAAAAGAAAGGAGTTGGTCCATCCGGGAACAGATTGGAATTCACCAATCCCAGCTGTGTTCTATGTGTCGTGTGTGTTGTGTGGGTGTGAGAGGGGTGCACATGTGTTCACTTACACACATGGTTGTCTACCTACCTGTGCAGATCAATCATTTCTGTGGATTTTTCTGAGGCTCTCAAGCTGGTTGTCCTGCTGTGACCATAGTTGTTAGAAAATTACCTTAATTGGGCTTCTTTGGGGGAAAAATGGATTTTTTTGGTTCAATCTAAAATATATACACGTTGAGAGGGACTATTTCTTTCTTCTTTGCCTTCAGATCTGCATCATGAATCCTGTTTCTGAAGCAAATGGCACATTTGCCTTCCACCTTTTAAAGATACTCTGTCAAGACAACCCTTCTAACAACGTGTTTTATTCTCCTGTGAGCATCTCTTCTGCCTTGGCCATGGTCCTCCTCGGGGCAAAGGGAAATACTGCAGTCCAGATGGCCCAGGTAAGCTGCCTGATGGCCAGGAGGGACTAGCCTCCAGCGGTTCTATCCTTATCTGCTTCCTTATCTCCAGAGCAGCTGAGGAAGTAGGTTGGGTGGGGTGCATATCATATCCGGGAGGTAAGTGGAGGTGGGTGGCATGGGGAAAGGAAGGCTGGAAGTCTCTTCAAATCAGATTTATTTTGGGGGAAGGACAGTTTCCCCAATTATAAAGGTCTGAAAATGTTGTCCAGCACTTTGCTTAGAGAGTGGTCTGCAATTATTTGAAACCTAAATTGTTAACCTCTATCTCCTTTTAAGAGCAAAAGATTTTGTAGATGGAATTATTCACTGGTGAGAAAGGTTAATTCTAGCTGCTAGGAGGAGCTAAACAGAAACATACAAAGCAGGAGGAAAAGGCATGCACTTAATCACCATACCAAAAAGCACTTAGTTTAGTTTTGTTGTTGGTGGTGGTGGTGGTCATGGGGCTTGAACTCTGGGCCTGGGTGCTGTCCCTGAGCTTTTCAGCTTAAGGTGAGCACTCTACCACTTTAGCCACAGCATCACTTCTGTTTTTTTTCTGGTGGTTAATTGGAAATCAGAGTCTGGCTTTGAACTGTGATCCTCATATCTCAGCCTCCTGAGCTGGGATTACAGGCGAAAGCCCCTGGTACCTGGCCCTTATAGGTTTTTAAAGTATATACTATAATATATATGTATATGTATATATATATATATATATATATATATATGTACATAGTATGATGGGACCTGCCAGAAAACCATGCAGATGTAGAAAGGTTTATTACCAGTAAAGGAACTGACAAGGCTACTTCTCACAGGGAGAAGTGCTGGCCTTTGTCTGAGGTGCCCTATATAATTTAGGGTGTTAGGAGACAGGGACTTTGGTATGGACATGTAGTCCAGGGACTTCATCATGGTGGTCTAGGATTTATGGCAGCTGCCCAAGTAGTAGATAAGGGACTGGTAGCTAGCCAGACTGAAGGTCACTTTAAGGGGTCCTGTTATCTTATATGGTTGCAACTGCCCCAGTAGGGAGTCATCTCAAGGTAAAGGGGAAGGAGGATTATTTACTGCTTGTACCAAATGGACCTAGTGTTGCCTGGGAAAGGAGCATGCTAAGCTATGAGCCTTTTGGACTAACATAGTACATTATCATTATCTATAGTACAATTTACAGGAGAATTCCTATAACTTAGTAACCACAAATCAGCTTTTTCCTGTGTTCATACTCTGATTTTTATTTAGCAATTCATAAGCTACACTTCTCTGAAAACAGTATGGTTTTCAATGTTGAATATTACCTCGGTATCCATTTCTGTAAATTCTTCTTCATCTAAAACTTCTCTTTGGGTGTTTTAAATTTTCTCTTATTTGTTGGATGTTTGTTGCATATGTGTGTTTTATGTATACATGTTTTTAGTTCAATTGAGAAGAAAATTGACAGTTTGTTTTTAGTGTAAAGAGCACTATTGATAATGTTTTATGATTTTTCCTTTCCAGGCACTTTCTTTAAACACAGAGAAAGACATCCATTGTGACTTTCAGTCATTTCTCTCAGAAGTGAATAAGCCTGGTAAGCACTATGTACTTAGAACAGCCAACAGGCTCTTTGGAGAGAAGACTTGTGAATTCCTCCAAGTAAGTTGAATCAATGGAATAATAAAAGTAGTACTCAAAGTACCTGGTGATGAAGTGGCCAGGAAAAAGACCCCAGAGAACTTGAAAAACTTATGGTTAACTTTCCTCCCTCAAAAGACCATGGTTCTGTAATGATATCTTACATTATATCAAAATTAACTACTCTGATTATTCAAACTTAATAATACCACTTAAAACCAGTGATTGTGTGTGTGTGTGTTTGTGCGCGCGCTGGTACTGGGGCTTGAACTCAGGGCTTGGCTTTTTCACTCAAAATTGGCTCTCTACCACTTGACTCACACCCCTACTTGTTTATTTTGTATTTTAATTGGAGAATAAAGTCTCTTGGGCTTTCAGCCTGGAATGGCTGGCTGCTGTGGTCCTTACAACTCAGCCTCCTGAGTAACTAGGCTCACAGGCATGAGCCACCGGTTCCTAACCCATGATATTTTATCTAATAAACTAAGATGTATTCTCTTTAAAGCAAATGTATGCTCATTTCTTTTTTTTTTTAAAAAAGAGGACGTAGAATTGAGAATATTTGGAATCGTGTCAACATATTATTTTTCATTCATGAACACATTTCTTTCTAGACATTTAAGACATCCTGTCTTCAATTCTACCTTGCTGAACTGGAGCAGCTGTCATTTGCCAAAGCTGCAGATACGGCCAGGAAACATATAAACACTTGGGTCTCAAAACAGACTGAAGGTGAGAATTTCAAGTTATTTCTGAATCAGCTTCTGTCTCCTCTACTTCACCTTCCCCTCCTCTCTTTCATCCTTCCCTCCTTCTCCCCTTTCTTATTCCTCTCACTTTTCCCTTTATCTTCTCTTTCCATTTATTTTTCCACTCCTCCTTCCCTTCTTCTCCTCTTTGACTAATTTCACTGGTGTTTCACCTGGTCAGCAGAGTGTTCAATGACTGGGACCCCTGGAATATTTGAACCTTGGAGAGTTCTTAGAGATTCTAATTAAATACTCGGGTTTTCAACAGGCAATTAGTTTTGTCTGTTCTTCCAAGACCACAGTAGTTGATACAAATTCAAAAGAAGTAAGTCATAGGCCATGTCCCCAGTTTAACAATTTTAATAAGAATATACATTCATTGGCCTATAATGTAGATATATCAGGTGAATCTGCCAATCACAGTTATTGAAGTTAATTGATGTAGACATTATTCTCCAGTCATGTGCTGTGGTTGCCTACTCCCCCTCCCCTCCCCCCCTCTCCCTCTCCTTCTCTCCCTTCCCCTCCTTCCTCTCCTCCCTCTCCTCCTCTTCCTCCTCCTCCTCCTCCTCTTCCTCTTCTTTAGCTTCTTCCTCTTCCTTTTTGTTGCCTATACTGGGGCTTGAACTCAGAGCTTTGTGCTCTCATTTAGCTTTTTTGCTCAAGGCTAGCCCTCTCTCACTTGAATCACATCTCTATATCTGGCTTTTTTCTCTCAGTCCTGGGACTTGAACTTGGGCCTGGGCACTGTCCCTGAGCCTCTTTTGCTCAGGACTAGCACTCTTCCACTAGAGCTACAGTGCCACTTCCGGCTTTTTCTGTTGATGTGGTACTGAGGAATCGAACCCAGGGCTTCATGCATGCTAGACAAGCACTCTACCACTAAGCTGCATTCCCAGCTCTCTGTATCTGGCTTTTTGCTGGTTATTTGGTAAGAAGACTCTCATTGACTTTTCTGCCTGGGCTCACATTGAACCTTGATTCTCCAGTCTTGAGTAGCTAGGAAACAGACATAAGCCATCAGTGTCCAGCATGAGTATCTCTCCTAAAAGACTCTGCAGCTCCCATCCTTACCCGATTTTTGTTAGGAAAGAGACATCTGCAGCTTCTCCTGTGTCTTCCACTTCAGTTCCTTTAATTAGTGGTGATTGGTTGGCCTCAGGTTCTCTTTCAGTGCTGGTCAAGTCCACAGACTGAAAGCATCTTCTCTTTGGGTCTTTATTTGTTTCTGTTTTAGAGAGTGACATGTTTCAATCTGTGAAACATGATTAACAGTGGTCTGGTGCTTGAGCCATTCAGATAACTCTGGATATTAGGAACTTTCCCATTTTGGCTAATAAATCAGGGAGTAAAGAATGAATAAATATTCAATGATCAATTCTCTCCCCTCCTTCTTGGAATATTTACCACCTATACCTATCAAGGCAGTGAATTAGCAAAGATGTTGCTTAGTTCATTAATAAGAAAATACTTGATAGCTGTCTTGTTAGTGGTGTTGGGTTTCTACATTCGTCCAACCTACTTTCCTTGAGTTACTTAGAAGTCTTTTACTGTCCTCAGCCTGGTGGATGCTCCTCAAGTATCATTTACCATGAATGCCATTGTAGGTGTTTTGTTTTTTGAAAATTTTTGTGTATTCAAGCTTAACACATTTTTGTACATCCAAACTCAACACATTTGAAAACAGGATGTTTGGACCTGCCAAGCCATTATGTAATAGTTTATTCATCATGTATGTATACAAAAGCAACTGAACATACTCTCTGCTTTTCTTCAAAGGTAAAATTCAAGACATGTTGTCAAGTAACTCAGTTAGTGAGCAGACCAAGCTGGTTCTTGTCAATGCCATCTATTTCAAAGGGAAGTGGGATGAAAAGTTTGAGGAAATGCTCACAAGAGAAATGCCTTTTAAAATAAACCAGGTAAAATGGAGCTTTTAAAAAACAAACCAAAAACACCATGCCGCACTGATGAAGAAATTGAGTGAGAAAATTTAACTTTTACAAGCATAGGCCTGGCATGTAGCTCAGTGGTAGAGCTCTTCAATGTCATTTATGAAGGCCTGGATTGATCTCCAGCACTTCAAAAAAAAGTATAAATGACCAGTTAAAAACCACGTGAAACTGAATGAATTTTTTAACTCAGAAAATAAATTGGAGGAACAAGGAATATTAGATGCCTGCAAATGTTTTATATTCTATTACTGCTTCAGAAATTTCTCTTAAATCAATGGTTGCAACGTGTTTCTGAAAACTGAAGATTTTCCTTAAATTTAAGAAGCTTAGAAAGCCATACTAGGTGTTTAAGGTAGTGTTAAATATGTATAACCAGATATAATATGGGATGGAGTAGAAGGAGGGAATGTGAAAACACATTTTCTTAGTCAAATATTTTAAAAACTGAAGTTCATTTGATTTGTTGTTAATTCATTGATCATGACTAACTCACTATAGCTTTCTTGTATTAAAACTAAGTGACAAAGACTTCAGTATTGATATTGAGGTATAATTTCAATTAAAATAGAAATTAGGGTAGTTTTCCAGATCTCCCTATCCCCCCAAAAGAACCAAATAATATAATGTAATTATGTGCATATATACTCTATCTTTGTTTATTATGTGTATTTTAAATGACAAAATAGAAAAGAAAACCTCTAAAAATAAATAAATAAATAAAACTTCTCATTGCAGAAGAGGGGAAGGGAATCTTTTCTAACAGTGATTTTGTCAACTTAATTTTTATAATATATACATATCAATTTATTTTAAAAATGTTTGGTTAGTACATTACCTCAATTTCTGTACAGTGTCTTTCCTCTCTACTGAAAAATCTCATAGATTGGAACTACTAGGTTAAAATATATGAGACCACATGCATGAAGTTTTACTTCTCAAGTCTTAACTAGAGCATGAACGTTGTTTCTATCATAGAAAACACTCCTTGAATCGACTGTAGTTTGTTTGGAAATTTTTATGTCTCTTTCAGTAATTTGTTTTATTTCCATCAGAAGGAACAAAGGCCAGTTCAGATGATGTATCAGGAAGCCGAGTTTAACCTCACCTATGTGAAGGAAGTGCAGGCACAGGTGCTGGAGCTGCCCTATGAGGGCAGGGAGCTGAGCATGCTGGTCCTCCTCCCAGATGATGGTGTGGATCTCAGCATGGTAAGGCAGGAGAAACTGCAGCTCTTCCCTCTCAACTGCTTTCAGGCCAGTGCAGTGACACCAACATGTCCTTTCTCACTGGAATAGAGCTCAAGCATGGCTTACTACCTTGCATCTGCCTTTTGAATAGATTATGATTGTAGACTCAGCTTCAGCGTGCAGTGTGCAGGCATGTGTCTCTGGGATCACAGTTGTTTTCAAGACTGGCTTTTCAAATAACTGTGTGTGGTAACTTACCAAATGGTATGACCCATCTAAACCTCGATTTTCTCACTGCTAGAATGAGGCTAATGATGCCGCCTGCTCAGTTGAGTTTTTACTTGCTTGTTTGTATGGTGTGTGTGTGTGTGTGTGTGTGTGTGTGTGTGTGTGTGTGTGTGTGTGTGTGTGTACTGGTACTGGGGCTTGAACTCAGGACCTTGTGTTCTTGCTTGACTTTTTCACTCAAGGTTGGTGTTGTATCACATGAGCCATAACTGTTCCTAGCTTTTATTATTTTAATTGGAGATAAGAGTTTCACAGAGTTTTGTGTCTAAGCTGGCTTTGAACCTCAATCCTTAGAGCTCAGATAGAAGTGTTTCAAACCTCCCACAGTAGTACACTAGCTGGGAACCAAGTGTGCAACATGTGAGTCTTTGTTGGTCCTGTGTAAACAAGCAGTACCATCCACAAAAGGAGGAAGGAAGCTGAGCGTGGAAGTGCTTGTAAGAGGCACTCAGGTCTGAATCTGAGTCTCATTCTGGCTTTTCAGGTGGAAAATGATCTCACTTTTGAAAAGTTCATATCCTGGACCAAGCCAGACCGCATGAAGAGCATTGAAGTTGAAGTTTCTCTACCACGTTTTAAACTGGAAGAGAATTATGACATGGAGTCTGTGCTTCAGCGTTTGGGAATGGTGGATGCCTTTCAACAGGGCAAGGCTGATCTGTCAGCACTGTCAACAGACAGAGAGCTGTATCTGTCCAAGTTTATGCACAAGAGTGTTGTGGAGGTGAATGAAGAAGGCACAGAGGCCGCAGCGGCCTCAGCTATGGTAATTGTTGAATGCTGTTGCCGAGAGTCTGGACACAGGTTCTGTGCTGACCACCCCTTCCTTTTCTTTATCAGACACAACACAACCAACAGCCTTTTGTTCTGTGGCAGGTTCACCTCTCCTTGAGGGGTGTACTTAACTATGTGTAGGAGCAGTTCCTTTTCTTCTGTGTTCCATACTTCCTTCTATATTCCCATGAGGCTGGGTAAAACCCAAGTGCTGAGATGAAGGAAGATTCCTCATCCTCTGAACTCTTCGGCAGACTAATCCCATGATACATCTCACTCATCTCTCTCCATACTGACCACTTCTTTGTGCCTCTTTAGCAAGATCATGAGACAGCAGACAAGCATGGGTCCCTGCTGTGTTTATGCAATACAAATTCCATAGCATAGTCTGCAAAGTTTTCACAGACACAATTGAACTTCCCACTCATTTCTTCCTGTTCCTTCACTCCATGTTAGCTACACTGCACTTCCCTGGAACTTCAGCTCTTGTCATACACTTGCCATAACCTGTTTGAACTGCAATATATGCTACTCCATGTTATTACTACTATTGCAGTTTCCTAAGACTGGCCTTCTCAGAAATCCACACAAACCCCCTACTGATGGCTCACATATGTAATCATAGCTACTCAGAAGGCTGAGATCTATGGTTCAAAGCTGTCCTACGCAAAAGGACCGTCAGGTTCTTATCTTCAATTAATCAGCAAAAAGCTGGAATAGAGATGTGGCTCAGTTGGTAGAATGATAGTCATGAGCAAAAAAGCCAAGGAAGAGCATGAAGTCCTAAGTTGAAGCCTCATTACTGGCACAAAGAAATAGAACAACAATAAAACCCCCATACACTTTAATACACTTTTAACTTCTTGTTTGACATTTACCAGTCACCAGTCATGTGCCAACCCCAGTATTAGGCATTGGGGAGAGAACTGAATCATGGTTCTTTGATTTTTGGTCTTTAGTATTTTGCCCAACATATCCAGCTTTTATTTATTTATTTACTTTTGTGGGGCTTGAACTCTGGGCCTGGATGCTGTCCCTGAGCAATTTTTGTTCATGGCTAGTGCTCTATCATGTTAAGCCATAGCTCCACTTCCCATTTGAGTAGTTAATTGGAGATAAGAGTCTCATGGGGGACTCTGCCCCAGGTAGCTTTGAACCTCCATCCTCAGATCTCAGCTTCTTGAGTAACTAGGATTACATATGTGAGGCACCAGTGGCCCACCTAGTCTAACAAGTAGTATTTATTTGATTTCTTTGAACTTATTATGTGAGCTATAGAATCACATTTTACTATTTCTGCATTTCTCCATTTCTAACAGTTAAATTCCATTCAGTCTTTAAAATTCATTTCAAATGTCATCTTCCAAGAAACTTCCCTTCTTCCTAACAAGATGTTCACTTTTGAACTTTCATCACAACAATGCACAGTAATGTCATTTCCTGTTAATCGTCTACATTCCTAGACAGTTCCCCAACTAGACCTAAGGGCATCCAGAGTTAGGGCTGTACTTTACAAGTCTGAATGCCACTTATGCTATGATCATTTATAACTTGAACATATAGCATATTATAACTTTTTATCGGTTAATGCAAATTTTTATTTTTATATTAATTCAACAGGAGCACATTAAAGCTTTTAAAAGAGAATTGACTTTTGGATATCTAGTTTTTCATTTCTAAATACTGTTCTTGAATTAAGGTCAGAGTTGGTGTAAAACAAGCATTTGTAGTTTGCCATAAATCACTTCACACCTTTTCTAAATTCACTGGTGCTTAACAATCTACAGATTATCACTACAGGGTTTCTTTCTAGTAGGAATTTCTTATTTACCATATTAGGTCAGATTTAAGCGAAACCTTTCTTATATACATGACAGAAGACAGTGACCTCACCCGAATGAGCTGGAGTCCATATTAATGAAAATTTCTTGATGTTAAATTACATTCATGGGAGTAATTACAGGAGTCATGCAAGTCCTCTAAAATAATAATAATGAGTGCTCAGTGATGTTGTCTTCTGCCTTTAATCCTAACTTTTCAGGAAGCTGAGATCTCAGAATCAAGGTTCAATGCTAGCCCAGATAAGAAAGTCCAAGAGACTTATCTCCAACTAACTACCAAAAAAACCTTGAAGTGGTATTGTGGCTCAAGTGGTAGAGCACTAGTTTTTAGCACAGGCTTATAGCCCAGACCTTGAGTTCAAGTCCCAGGACCAGCACACAAAACAAAGAAACAGAAACTTAAAATGAAAATTATACCTAAATTGGTAATGGTATATTCAAGTCATTAGTAGTGTGTGTGTGTGTGTGTGTATGGTATATTCAAGTCATTAGTTGTGTGTGTGTGTGTGTGTGTGTGTGTGTATTGACTAAGAGCCTCGGGCTCACTTGGCTTTTCTGCTCAAGGCTTGTGTTTTCCCACTTGAGACACACTTCCAGTTCCAATTCTCACCGATTGGGGCTGGGAAGGTGGCTCAGTGGTAGAGTGCTTGCCTTGCATGCAGGAGGCCCTGGGTTTGATTCCTCAGCACCACATAAGCAGAAAAGGCCAGAAGTAGTGCTGTGGCTCAAGTGGTAGAGCACTTACCTTGAGCTGAAGAGCTGAGGGACAGAGTCCAGGCCCAGAGTTCAGACCCCAGGACCAACAACAACAAAAAAGTGTTTAACAATACCAATTCTCGCTGATTAATTGGAAAAAGGAGTCCTAGGGACTTCTTAGCCCAGCTAGCTTCCAAAAGTGATATTCAGAACTTAGCCTCCTAAGAAGCTAAGATTACAAGGGTGAATCACAAGCACTTAACTTTGTAAAAGTTTTCATATGAAACAGCATAATATTTTTAAGAGTCTTACAAAAATATTATTCTTCAGTCTATGTTACAAATGATTACACTAAAGCAGAGGTTACCTAGTTTAAACATCACCAAAGACATCAGCTGGCGTTTACTACATGAATTATTTTTCCCATTGTAATCTGCTAGACTTTATTAGTGTTCCCAAAATGGAAGGTTTCCTTATATGACTTATATTGGCATTTCTGCTTTCTCATCTAAATTCCACAATGCTGAACATTAGAAGATCCATGTGCCCCTTGTTTACATTTGAAATTCATTGGGCATACTGGATGACCAGATGACTCTGAATCAGGCTCTGCTTGAGAATGTTAACTATATAAGCCAAATATCTCCTGTGGGGTATTGGTAGTTGACCTAAAGTTCAAGATATTACACTGCAGCTGTCCAATTTCTTTGCTAAGCTGGAAAGGGAAAGAGAAACCACATTTTTTTCTGGTTAGTAATAGGATATGAGGGGAGAAATCTTTGTTTCAATTTTGTCTAAAACAAAAGAAACGCAAAGCAGATACTATCATCAGTCATGACCAGACCACTATCAGAGATGTTCTTTGTGGGAGTACAGTTCAGAGGTCGAGCATTTGATTACAGAAATTCTCTGAATTGTTTGCTGGAAGGGAAGGCAGGAATGCTTCAAAGGCTAGAAAGTGAAAGCTGACAGTGACTAAGTTCATACCGCACTGCAACCCAGCACCCTGATCAGGATAGAATGAGCCCAAGGTAGAAAATCAGTGTCAGATCTCTAGGGGCCTGTGGCCTGGCCAAGGACTACTTAAGCTGTGGCTTGCCAGGTCACGCTGCCTCTGCCAGAGACAGTTATGGCAAGTGCCGTAGAAAGAAGAATGTGTGGATTATTTTATTCTACTCATGTGAATTTGAAAAAGAATGGCTCAGACTTCTAAATCCCTTACATAACAGATTCCAGAAAGGACCTTTTGAAGCTGGACACTGGTGACTCCTGGCCATAATCCTGGCTTCTCAGGAGGCTGTGGCTCAAGTTCAAAAACATCCTAGGCAGAAATAGTCACGAGACTCTTACCTCCAATTAATGAGCCCAAAGCTGGAAGTAGAGGTGTGGCTCAAGTGATAGACAGCTAGCCTGAGTGAAAAAGCTAAGTGAGAGAGTGAGGCCCTGAGTTCAAGTCCCAGTGCAGGTATTTTTGTGAGCATTATTGGCAAAGGCATTTTCCCGAGGCAGATGTTGTAGGGCACGTGTGCACTGGCTCTGTCTTCCTCCTAAGTGAGTGGACCTGCGACCCTAGGGCTTCTCCAAGCTGCAGGAGGTTCCTGAACCTGCTGTTCAATCAGCTGTTCCATAGTAGAGGCCAGATACCCAGTCTCCCCTCTAATTGTGAATGAGACCCTAACAGCCAGAGGTTTCAGGTAAGATTAGTGGAGGGAGAATGAAGGTAGCTGAGATCTCTCCAGAAGAAGATAAATCCTGGGATGTGGAACCTGCACTACTATTCTGTTTCAGGACTCCTAGTTGGTGTTAGGTATAGGGGGAACTTGGAGATCAGCCAAGTTTCCCCTTCAGGTTTATTCCCAGCCCTCTGGGTGATAGACAGTGGACAGGTACAGAGCAGCTCAGGTAGGAGGAACTGGATCTCAGGGCCGTGTGCCAGCCTGGGGAAGGAATGCTACACGGGAGAGGACAGAGGCAGGAAGGCAGATTTGCTCTCCTGGGGCTCTCAGCACTCCTCACCCAGCCTGTGGCAAGCCAGAGCCAGCTTGAAGTGGTAGAGATAGGTAACAAGTGGTAACCATCTTATATGAGCTTATGCTTGCTTTCTGTTTCCCTAGCCTTCTCTGAAAGCACCAGCTCAGAAAACCTCATGGACACAGTCATAGTGAAAGGGTTTATTGTCAGCCCCTGCTGACAGGCTAGCTCTCTCAGGATAGAGAGCAGCAGCATCTCCTTATAAAGGGGAGGTAGTTACATAGTGTAGTATAGTGTAGTGTAGAAGGCAGTACAGGAAGACCAAAAGCAGGAAGTCTTGCAGCTGGACACTAGAAATAGTATGTGGCCAGAGAAAAACCTTTGCTGACACAGCTGGGGACTCAAGATACTGCAGTTAGGGCTGGGAATGTGGCTTAGTGAAAGAATGCTTGCCTACCATGCATGAAGCCCTGGATTCAATTCCTCAGTGCCACATGAACAGAAAAAGTTGAAGTGGCACTGTGGCTCAAGTGGTAGAGTACTAGCCTTGAGCAAAAGAAGCTCAGAGACAGTGCTGAGGCCCTGAGTTCAAGCCCCAGGACTGACTGAGAAGGAGGGAGAGATGGTAAAGTTTAGGTGGGGGTGGGTGACTGTGGCCAGGTCTGGCCTGGTCACCTGATCTGGGGGAAAGAGCAGAGGATCTAGAATGGAGGTTGTCAAGCCAAAATAGGGGTAGATATGCTAATATTCTCCATAAGTGTCTCTATGGAGGTAAGTGGGGACCTAGGACAAGGCTCATTTTGGTTTTGCTGAAAGGTGCAGGAAGACCATTTGTTCTTAGGACTTGGAAATCTTGGTAGTTGCTTGAGAAAAAATATCTCAAGGCCTGTTTTCTTAAAGTTGTGGGCCCCTTGATTCTGATTAACCTTGGGTTGCTAGACAGAATCTTAGAATTCTACAACAATTCTATCTATGCCCTGGATCCTCCCGCCACAGACATCTTCTCTGAGATAGGTGGCACCTTTGCCACCTACTTTTAAAGAAGTTGTTTGAACCAGGCACCAGTAGCTACTGTTGCTCAGTAGACTGAGAGCTGAGGATCATGGTTTGGAGCCAGCCTAGGCAGGTAAACCAAAGAGACTATCATCTGAATTTAAACAGCA